TTAACGGAGAGTCTCCAGACTGATCTGCGAGTGAAACCTTGAAAGCTCGCGAGATCAGGATGGTCTCACGAGGCTAGGAAATTTGTGCAATAAAATGAACATCGAATAAAATATATTTGTCTGCATCTAAATTCTGATAGAGATGCTGACTTTTGCCGTCTTGTTCACTTTTATAACATGCTGCCGTTGCTGTTTCATCTCTGCTATTGCTGCTATTTTCACATATTAATTACTGTAAAAATGTCCACAGCTGTTTATTGATTATTTTTTTTCAGGTAGAGAGAATTTATATTGTTAAGACAACGTACAGTACAGTATTTTATTTTCTTATTTTCTTAACTCTGTCACTTTTTCTGTTTTTTTTATACCCTTTTATTTTGAAAATCCACATTTGTGTGACCAATTTTTTCTATAATCTTTTCCTGCTTTAACCAAAATTTCCTCATTTTGGGACAATAAAGAGATTTTCTTTTCTATTCTGTTCTATTCTTTGCTTCTGTTTAAAGGAAAAGTCGCTCATATTCAGAATTCAAACTTCTGAAAGTTCTTTAATTATGAAATTATTCCATCCTGTTCAATAAATGATAAATGATTCCATAAGAATAATTTTATTTGAATGTGCTTTACTGGAGGCATCCATGTTTGTCAAAGACTACATATGTCAGTTACTATATTTGGGCAAAAATGGCCGCTCCAAGATCGCAACAAAAATCATTTTGATTATTTTTACCTATTTAAGCTAAATTCATTAAATCGCGTATTAGTTTTAGGTAAAGATAAAGTTCCATTTGTTATTCTTTGCTGACCTGACTTCTCCTTTAAAGTTACTGGAATCCATTGATTAAAAATAAATGGATCAGTTATTGATTATTGTTCTTTGTTTTAATATCGTCGTCGATAAAATCTTTTCCAAAAACTTACACTAAAAAATGAGCAATAAAAGTATTTAGATCAATGAGAGTTTGTATGATTAGTACTGATATATCATATCGGGTCAATATTGGTATCCATCACTATCGTGTCAGAAGTGAAAAAGTCGTATCTCCCTAAAAGCGGCGACGTGAACTACATTTTGATATTTTAAAATATCTGCTTAAATCTCTAGAATAACCCAAATAAATTTTACTAAAGACTTCCTCTCGGTCTCTTTTATGGATTTTAGTTCTGATGTCAGTTGCTGAAATCTTCTGAGAAGCAACAGACTGAGACTCCAGATGGAACCTTAATTCCTCCAGATGAGCTGATGCTGCTGCTGACATGTTGCATCGAACCCCCAGATTTTCCAGCAGTGAACTCTGGGTAAACAGAGAGGCTCGGAAACATCAGCGTAGAAGCAGCGCCGCCATCCTGTGGGTTTATGTAAGACATTAGCAAGACGTCATCACCACTGAAAAAATAAAAAAGTTAACTGATTTTTAAATTATATTTTAGTTTAATATGGAAAAAAGTCAGAATCCTGACTTTAATCTAAAAAAAATTCTCAATGTAGATGGAAAATGACGGAATTGGGCAACTTTTTCCGTCCCTGAAGTTCCCTGCTGATGCTATTTGATTAATGGAAGAGCAGAAGGTGATTAAAACAAGAGAGCTAGTCTCTAAAACAGACATGGCTACGGCTTGATGCTAACATGTTTGTTAGCTCTCAGAATTCAGAGATTAAATTTAGAATTCTGAGTTTATTTCCTATATTAAACTGACATAATATTTAAAAAAAATTGAACTTTTTTTTAACTTTTTCATTGGCCCTAATCCTCTTCCGTATTTTCCGCACTGCAAAAAAACGGAAATCTAAGTCAAGTAATTTTTTCTTAAAATAAGTGAATTTTTTCTCGAATTGATCACGAAAGTGAGACACTTTGCCAATGGAACAAGACAATTTACATTTAAAATAAGAAAAAACTATTTTATTGTCTTATTTCAAGTTCATATTATCTAATTATCTTATTTTAAATGTAAAGATACTAATTTCATTGGCAAATCATCTTATTTAATAAACTCAAATTAAGGGTAAATACACTTTATTTAAGACATTTTTACTTATTTCTAGATCGTTTTTGCAGTGTAAGACAATCTTTCTTTAAATAAGCATATTTTCCCTCGATTCAATCAAGGAAGTAAAATAATTTATTAATGACGTAAGATTGTTTGCATTTAAAATAAGATAAAAATCGGTGCGATCCTTTATGTGCATCTCAGTTTCTTATCTTAAGGACAGAAATCCTGCTTCCATTCATGGATCATTTTATTTACCTGCTCTAATAAAGTCAAATACATTTATTTAAGATTTTTTGTGCCCGTTTTTTAAAATAAGTGTATTTTCCTTTGATTTGTGAAGGTAAAAACAAATGACCTTTTATATGAGGCAATTTATTCTTGAAATAAGAAAAAGAAAACCTATTTTAGTACTTAATAGTCTTATTTAAGGTTCATTTTCTAATTTTAAGGGCAGAAACTCCTTATTTAAGCCATTGTTTGCAGTGTGACAACCTACATCTAAAAAAATTGACATGAAATAATAAAATAAAAAGGCAAAGTGAAGAAGAGGAAAAGAAAAAATGACCAACTTCCAACTAATTTACTGGAATGGCATAAACTATCTTGGGTTAATTTCTTCATTCTTTTCTGTGTCGTAACCATGACAACGGCCTAATGTTTGTTTTTAAATCATTTTGAGTTTCTTATTTCAAGTGCATTTTATCTAGTTATCTTATTTCAGGAGTAAAATTACTCATTCCATTGGCAAACAATATAATTTACCTACTCAAATTAAGGGTGAATACACTTAATTTGAGGAATTTTTACTTATTTCTAGATCGTTTTTGCAGTGCAGATAGAGAGCACTTTTTCTCACCCCAAAAAATGCAGGAATGAAAAAACAAATGAAGTAAAAGAAGTAAAATTAGAGATAAACTGAAAAACATGGCTGACATTCTGGAAATGGAAATCTCAAACAATACGGTTAAAATTGTAATGAAATGAGTAAAGGAGGAACTGATGATACATCAGGAGCCTGACCTTTGGACCAAAACTACAGCAGGATTAAATGGTAAAGGGCCAAAATAACATTGACGCTGCAGCAAAAACAATCTTTCCTGGTTTGGAGAGAAAAATGGAAGCATAAAACAAAAACTATACTTTAGCAGAGCCATTAAAATGACATTTTTCATTCTGATTTGTACATTTTCTTCTATTTTGAAACCAAATTCTGCATAGAAAGTCTTGAACTTTTTCCAGAGAGCATGTATGCGGATTCTAAGCGTCTGCAAAGCAGTCGATTAAACGTGTGAGCAGATCTGGGTCAGAGATCAGAGGCTGATCTGAGCTGTGACTGATGCTAGCAGGTCAATGGAAAGCCGAGTGTGATTGGATCACGAAGCATTAATTATTTCCAGAAACCTCCACGTTCTCGCTGCACGCAAACAAACGTGCCCCAGATCGCACTCCTCAGATTAAAGAAATTTACTTTTACCGTTAAAACAATCTATAGTGAAGAAGGTGACGTTAAAAAAAGCAGGATATGTTTAGTTTTCTTGTTATGATGCTCTTCTTCCTGCCTGCTGCTGATGAGCAGAGCTATTCTTGAACAGCTGTCGGGTTTTTGCAGATTAGAAAGGACACTGATTCTTGAAGGACACGTAATCCTGTAAATTAAACACTAATTATGTCCCAAGTTTCAAAACTCTCCACTTTTCATTTGTATAAACAAACGTAAACAAAATACCTGGATTGTAAAAACATGCGATAAATTACAGCAGAATCATCTTAAAAAGCATATTTTTTTAAATCTTCCAGCAATAAATCAAACATCCAGCCGCTAAAAACACCCGGTGTTTTACTCTGATTGGTGGAAGGTGGAAAATACACCTGATCTGATTTAACTTAAGCCAAAATCCAACAATAACAAAACTTGACTTTGAGCACTGAGGCTAACAGGGAGCTAATTTCCTGGTAAATCATTACCACACTGGAAAAACGATGTACAAATAAGTGAAATTTTCTTAAATTAAGTGTATTTACCTTTAATTTGAGCAGGTAAATGAGATAGTTTGCCAATGGAATTAGTATTTTTACTCTTAAAATAAGATAATTAGATAAAATACACTTGAAAGAAGACAATTAAATTGTGTTTTCTTATTTTAAATGTAAATTGTCTTGTTCCTTTGGCAAAATGTCTCTTTTACCTCCTCAATCCAAGATCAAATACACTTATTTTAAGAAAAGATGACTAATTTAGATTTCGATTTTTTCCAGTGCATAGGAGCCGTTGGTAAAGTTAAGCAGTCAAATATTAGGAGGATTATTTATGCTTATTTAGTTTTAAGAAAAAAATTAAAGGGTTACTTTTACCAATTAATTTTTTCGCTGTGTCATTCATTCATTTATAAAAATCAAAGACCCAAAATGAATATTTAGATTGTCACTTAAAAGAATTGTAAGCAAGCTAAACTAAATACTTAGTTTGTTAAATATTTAGTTTTTTTTATTTTTGTTTTTTAAATACATATTTAGCTCCAAACTAAATATCTATTTAACATTAAATATTTGATTTGCAAATTAAATATTTAGCTAGCACCAAGCCAGATAAAGCATTAGCTAGATTGGTGCTGGCTAAATATTTAATTTGCAAACTAAATATTTATCTCCTAGTGGGTTGGGTTGCAATGCCCGGTTCAATTCCCACTGCCACCATTCTAGGTCCCTGAGCAAGACCCTTAACCACACACTGCTCCCAGGTGACGCACAATGGCAGCCCACTGCTCCCGAAGAGGATGGGTTAAAATCAGAGGTAAATATTTCTAATGTGAAATCAATAAAGTTCAATTATTAATGAATATTTATTTAACAAACTAAGTATTTAGTTTGTTAAATAAATATTTAGAATGCTGAGAAATATTTTAACTGACAATCTAAATAGTGAATGACAGAGTTAAAAAAAGGAACTCCCTTATTTTTCTCCTAAAAGACGCTAAATAACCATAAATATAGCTCTTAATGTTTGACTGATTAAATTTACAAACGGCTCTCCATACAGATGGCAGGATTGTCACTCACTCTTTGACTTCCTTGGAGCTGAAATCCAGGTAGCGGTTGCTGACCCACTGGATCTCAAACCAGTCCCTGTAGTTATCGTTCCCGCAGCAGCGGAACTCCATCTGCATGAGGTCCAGGGTCCTCTTCATGTAGCAGCGGCCCGGCGTGTCCGTGTCCTTGTAGTATTTCATGCCGTTCTTCAGACCCTCAGCCAGGGTGAACTGCAGCGGGATCCTCATCACAAAGCAGAGCAGCGAGGTGACGACAAGCAGGGCGTTGAATCCCAAACAGAAAACCAAAAAGCTCTTCAACACCGGCTTCCACTTTGCAAACTTCAGCGGGTCCAGGGAGTCGTAGCAGACCTTGCCTCCAAAGGCGTTGATCCCGCAGGCTATGAGCCCCATGGTGATGAGCAGGTTGGGCAAGAAGTGGCTCTCGTTGTTGTCCATGAGCTCCGACCGCTTCCGCAGCTCGATCTTGAAGAACAGGCCCAGGCTGAGCACCAGAATACCAGCCAGTACAGCGAACCAGTACATGAACCAGACCGTCTGAGCCAGCTTCACTCGTTTTTTCAAGTCAAACTTGACCACCATCAAAGCCATTGTTCAAAGCGTTGGTGTCCTCGCCTCTGAAGAAAGGTGTCAAACGGCAGAAGCTTTAATGTTTGGAGAAACGTTCCTCAGAACTGGACCTCTTGTTGGCTGGTATCAGGATTTCCTCAGGATATTTGTCAGAAGGTATGAATCAGCTCAATGGAAAATCCATCGCCAAGCAAAGCAGTAGAGCCAGGATGATCGGGACCGACCCCACAGCGGTAGAGGAGTCTTATTTCTTCAAAATCATCCCCTGATCCATGGTGCCGAAAAAAAAAACCTTTAATAAAACCCAACCGCACCTAAATTAGGCTGTTTTTCCCTCTTTCTGAACACACAGGTGAGGCTAATCCTGATGCGGCGTTCTCCAGAGACGTGGAGGATTGCTGAGAAAGCTCATGATTAAACTCAAAGTTGCTGTACGTCATGCTAAGCTCCTCTAAGCAGCCTGATCCAATTAACAGAAATATCCCCCACACACAAGATGAGCCTGATCATAAGCCGCTGCCACGGGCCTTAATTGGTTTGTGGCTTCACGTGGTGGCGTCCGCCTCGCTGGAGCGCACCAGGAGGCTCACCGAGATCAGGAACATGGCAGCAAAGGTAGAAGTGGAGCAAACATTAAGACGGATGGGACCAAAGCCAATAACTTGTTCCAGAACGGGCCTCCATCGGCCTAGAATGTCACAGCTTGTCATGGCTGAAGCCGCTGCCACACCTTGATGATTTATCCAGCGGATTCCTGACGTCCCAGAATCTCCTTAAACGCTGAAATACGCTGAACTTTCTGTGGATTTTTAAAATTTTGGGTGTATGCCTAAATCAGGGAAAACCAATTAAAAATCAACGGGTCCGAATATAGAAAATCATCAACCAGAAAAGGTCCGGAGACATTTTGAATTTCAATCTGCTACTTTAAACACAAGTTAACGCTGAAATAAAATGAGGTGTTTAAGCATCCGTGTTATACATTAAATAAAATAAATAAAAACAATATTTTAAAAAATTTGAATTTTTTTTTCCATTTTTAAATCAAAAGTGTTTTTTTTTAAGTAGAGAACAACAATCTTTCAGTTTGGTTTATAGAGAATTTCCTGATTCTACGGTGGCCCTGAAGTGCAAACTGCAACTACAAATCTAAAAGCGCAACTACATTAAGGAAA